CAGAATATAGGATTCTCCAGTGCCAAGTCTGGGATATCAAGGGAAAAATGAAAATCCAATTCACTGCCATGTCATTCCTTAAGCTCCTAATCTACCACCTTCTCACCATCTTATGGAGATTTTCTGTATTTGCTTTTAGTAATATGTCCAGGGTTTTTAGTTATCTTTTAGAGGGAGGAATAGGGAAAAATAAATCTTCTACTTCTTTCCCAAAATCAAAAGCTTAAGGGGCTGGGGTATAGCTCAAGTGGTAGAACATTTGCCTAGCATGTGTAAGGCTACACTACATAAAAATAAATAAAATAAAGGTATTGTGTCCATCTACAACTAAAAAAAAATTTTCAATTAAAAAAAAAAAAGAACATCAGCTGGGTGTGTTGGCACACACCTGTAATCCTCGTGACTTGGAGGCTAAGGCAGGAGGATTGTGAGTTCAAGGCCTGCCTTGGCAATTTAGCAAAGCCCTGGCAACTTAGTGAGATCCCATCTTAAAAGAAAAAAGGGTGGGGTGGGGCATGGCACTGGAATAAAGCGCCCCTGGGTTAAATCCCCAGGACTCCCCGCCCCCCCACCCCCACCCCCCGCAAAAAAGACAAAGTATCAAGCAATATATATGGTAATAGAAGGATAAATGGACAAAATTCAATACTTACTACTAACAATCCAAACCTGTAAGACAGAGCTTTTCTGAAACAAGGAACTCTTCACCTAAACCAACTATTTCCCACTGCTAGAATGAAACTGATACCCTATCCCCCAAAATCAAATTCATACAAATACAAAATTGTGGATATGGCCTATAACTATCTGTCAATATTGTCTTTATTAACAGCAAAAGTGCCATCCTGTACTTAAAGATACCACAAAGAATGGGTTTAAAAGTTAATAAGCTAAAAGTATGAAGACATCTGTAGCCAGGAGCTTTCTTCAAAACTCCTGTACCTATTTCAAGTCAAGACAGGTTTCTACTGAATATGTAAAGAAATTATTTGTCAGTCCCAGAGCCAATATTAACAAACATCACGTTACAGTGAGTTGAGTCAGTCCAAGCAGGCTCTAAATGAAAGCAGGAGGACCCCAGAACCCAGCAAACTCAATGAAGGAGCTAACAACTTAGGCTCCAGAGACGTAAGGAAAGAGTGTGACAGTCATAGCTCAGAAGTGGGCAACTGGGCTGGGGATGTGGCTCAAGCGGTAGCGCGCTCGCCTGGCATGCGTGCGGCCCGGGTTCGATCCTCAGCACCACATACCAACAAAGATGTTGTGTCCGCCGAGAACTAAAAAATAAATATTAAAAATTCTCTCT